TTAACTAGATATAGAAAAATTTTAAAAAAATTGCTCAAAATTTAAGGGTCCGTTTGATTGTAAAGTTGGAAAATAGGTTGAAAGAAAATGAATTCCAGGGAATTAAATTGCTTAGAAATTATTTTACTGAGAATTGTAATTAATTGTGTTTGATTTGCATAATTTTCCACATGGAAAATGTTGAAAATTTGGTGTCCGTTTGACTTTGTTTTTCATGAAAATTGTCCATTAAAATGATAATTTTTTCTACCATTAGGTCTAGAATTTGTTCCAATTGCCAAAAAATTAAAAAAAAAAAGTTACAAATTTTTTTTACTATACCGAATATAATTTGTTTAGCTTTGTTTTGCATGAAAATTGTCAATAAAAGTGATAAATTTTTTTACCATTGTATCTATAATTTTTTCTCATTACCAAAAAAAAAATGAAAAACCATTTTTCCAACACTTTGGTGGGAAAATGATTTCAAGAAAATGTGAGTATGTGAGGAAAAGTAGGAAAAGCATTTGCCCAGAAAAAAAGTATCAAACAAAGAAAAAGTGGGAATTCCATGGAATTGGCTCCCTATCAAACACACCATAAATACGCAAATAAAAAAACACCAAAAGATAAAAATATTAAAGGTAGAAATGTGAAGGAACTAATGACGTTCATCGATTGATAACCGCAGCTTATCTTTAAGTAATAGTCATTGAACTAGGATTATTTAAACTTGGTAATTCAATCATATAGCTTTTCAAACAATATCTTGTGTGTGTATATATACACATATCTGCACCTATTTGAGACACATTAAAATTTTCATTCTCATTCTTTTATTCATTTTCAACCACATATTTTTCAATAAAATAATATTTTCTACAACATTTCCTTTTTTTCAACCATACATTCTCCATCAATCTACTATTTCAAAATACATTCTTCCAAAATGATGTGGCTCAAACACACCCCATATATCGTTCTTATATAGATAAACGCGTTTTCACATCTGCCCGTGACTTCAGGGTATTCACGTTTGACATTGTTTCAATATCTTTTATATTCAATAGTTGGTAATGAAATTGATGCAAGGTTGTGTTATAATTAACGAAAATGTTAATCAAGGACAATGGTACTCGCATAATTTCATGTATGCCCTTATTTATAATTCATTATTTGCATGGCAATTGACACTGGAAAGTTGTAGGAATTAGTACTTCTAAGAAATGACTTCTAGCTCATTTTAATTTACTCCTTGTCATTAATTCGCTTTATATATTTTAATTTTTATAGTCTCCTTTTGTAGTTAACTAATGGATTTTCTTCAAATCAAATTTTAGTGCGTGTAATTCTTGACGGATAATTAATAGATCTTTTGATAAAAAAAATAAAATCTCGGACTAGTCTCAATCCCTGTGCGACGTGACAATCTTGAATAATCTTTTCGCGCCCGATTAATCTAAATTTACATTTTAAGTACACATTCAAAAAAAAAAAAATGTAGATATTTAAAGAGAAATTGTTGGTTGAAATTTTTTTCATCACAGTATGTAATTGAAAACAGCAAACAATATGTGTTCAGATATATAAAATACTCAAAGCAAAAGTTAGGTTTAAAATTACTTATTTGCTTAAATACGATTTCGAAGCTTACTTTTCCTGCAAATAAAATTTATTGTGATGAAAACTCGATGACACGAGTACAATACTATTATTACTGCACCTCTATGTTTCAACATAGATTCCATAGATTTTCATATTAGAAGTGTTTAAAATGATGATGTGGATCAGGACCATCAGGACTCATTCGCTCGGGCCGTGCTTGATAACTGAGATGAGCCTTTTCATGTTCAAATTGAGCCTCCAACGCTTCTCTGGCCGCCCTTATTGGTTTGACAGGACGAGCTGCGACTACCGTAGTTGAAAGCAAGAGTAGACACATTAAGAACTTGAAGCTAGTCATTGTCCTGCTAAATTTCATTTGCTGTTTACTCTTGGTTGATTTATGGATACACGTTCTAGTATTTATAGTCCTTGGTGAAATGCTAATGTTATTATTATATGCCTCTCTCTTTTAGAAGTTAGTGAAAAGAAAAGGAAGTCGATTCAAAAGGTGCAATCTTTTGTCTCATTAGTGAAGTGTATTCTCTTTTAACAAAATCTCACGTCATTATTAGATGAAAATATCACATGCCATATATACGAATGACTTGTGCAAATTATCGAGGTCTTTTATGTGTGGAAGTGAAAATGTGAAATAGGATTGAGTCGTCTCAGGATACAGAACCTAACAATATCGAATCCGATCTTCATGTTGATAGTCAGGGGCGGAGCTAGAAATAAATGGTACGGGAGACAAGATTTTTTATAATTTAATGTATTAAAATTTTTTTATATATAACAAGAAAAATTGTAATATAATGTTACTTATTACAGTTGTACCCGACGATATTTTA